ATACAATTGTAACACAAGGAAGAGGATTGTAAATATTTTGGTTTTGTAAAGTTAAAGCTGATAACACGAACAATTTTGACCCTGAAAATACTTGGTAGTAGTACAAACTTTGGATTTGTTGCAGTACACGCCTCAAATCATTACATTCTTCTTAAATAAATATGACAGAAAAAAAATCATCAACTAATTCTCAAGAAGACGTACTACAATTTCTTGAAGATCTTGATACCTATTCTACAAATCCGTCAACGATTGAAACTAGAACTGAGGATGATGTTCAATCTGTTCTTGATTATGTTGATCAAATAGTACAAACTTCGACTACTGTTACTAATAAATCTGACAGCACCAACGCCACCTCTACTCTTAATAATAATAACAATAATAATAATGTCTCAACAAAAATTGAGAATACAAGCGTTAAACAAGGTTCTGAACAGAAGCTACAAAAAGATGAAGCCAGTGGCAGTGATGATAATAATAGTGGAGCTTGGAGTTGGGGAAATATATTGGCATCTGCTTCAACAGCCTATAAAACAGCCAGCACCGTTGTTGATTCGTCTGTTAAAGGAGCATTGGCAACAGTCGAAACAGTACGAGCAAACGAAGCAACTAAAAAGTTGGAAGAAAAAGTACGTGAATATGTGAATAAGGAAGCAATTGAAAAAATAGGTTATTATTTTATATCTTTTTTTTTTTTTGAACCAATTTAAATTATTTAATTATTTAATTACTTAAAAATTTTTTTTTGGTTATTTGTAAAAATTTAAAAGGTTCAGATCTTAAGTCATTAAGTTTAAATACACTTACAACAGTTGTTAATGCGGTAGTTCCACCAATTTCACAATATGAAATTGTAGAAGTTTGGTTGGCACATGATATGATTGGATATATTGGATTGGAATCAATCGTTTATCGTGGATTTATAAAGGTAATGGAACAAGTTGAAGGAGGAGATATTATTGTTAAGAAAGGTAATAATAATGAAACAAAGAAAGTTAATATAACAGATGAATTATATAGAGATTTAAATGTTTGTGAAGGATTTGTTGAAGCTATAAAACTTGCAAAGGTATATTATTTATCATCATCATCGTCGTCGTCATCATCATCACTATCATTATCATTGTATCATGATCATGTTCATTGTTTATAGCTTATTGCTTATTTTTTTCATAATTCAATAGGCAAATATTGAACAAACAATCAAGAAACATTATGATCCCATTTCATTAGAAAAAGAAAGATTAAAGACAAAGGAATCACAACAAAGAGAGACGCCATCAATTATATGCCCAGTATTTATGTCAATACAACCAACAAAAGCTAATCCATACGTTATACCAACTTTATCATCATCCACACCATCAACAGATAATGTTTCAGAAAATTTTCTGTTCTTTGTAATAGTATTAACAGATCCAACTCACAATCTGACCTTCGAAACTTATTCACAAGCATTACCAATTAGTTGGTTAGATGTAAAATATGAAGAAAATGAATGGGTAGAAGATAAAATGGTTGCATCAATAAAACTAGCAGTACAAACAATTGCTCAAGATTATGTTTGGCATCGTATGAATTATAGTAGTAATCAACCTATTGTCAATAGTAGTAGTAGCAATAGTAGCAATAGCAAGAAAGAAACTGAAGTAGTTGAAGGAAAAGGAGAAGTAAAATTGTAAAATAAACAAAGTTATTATTAATAATTAATTCATTTATTTATTTACTATCTTGCATTATTATTTATTTTTATCATTATTATTTTTAATTTTTATTGATGTTTATTATGTACAATAAAATAAATATTTTTCATTACCTAACAAAATATCATTAATAATAATAATAATATTATTATTATTATTCAACTCAAGATTAAATGATTTTTGTAAAGTTTAACTTAAAAAATATATATATTATTTATCTCCAGTCCTAGCTAAATACAAAATAATAATCAAATCACACATTCATTCACTGATAATTAACAAACTATTATTACTATCGTCATCATCATCATCATCATCATCATCATTATCATTATCATCATCATCATCATCATCATCATCATCATCATCATCATCATCATCATCATCATCATCATCATCATCATCATCTTTTTTTGCAATTTGCTACTATGTTAGCTATTATATACTATATATTATTTAATTATATTATTTTTATTTGAATAATCATAATAAAATTAAAAACTATAAGAAAATGCAATAACAGTACAATCATCGTAACGACCTTGATCCTTTTCAAAAATATCCAAACTATCCTTGGTTCTATCACATAAAGCTCTTGCAAGATCATATAATTGTTCACCAGTTAAAATATTATGACTCCTTGAAGATCCTAGTTTATAAAAAAATGGTTGTTGTTGTACTGATTCAGTTTCTGATAATTTGTTTGATGACTCATCTCCTCCTATTCCTCCTTCTCCAGGTAAGTTTACCTTTGTAAAAAAATTTGGATCTTCACTTGCTATTAAATAATTGATATATTTTGCCAACTTCCTAATAAATTCTCTCATACTAACTTTCAAATGATCCCATAATCCATCCGGTGCCAATATTCCAATATAATTAGTACCTGACTCCATAACTATATAATCAACATCAGCATCACATGGAAATAATGGTGGGTCAAGTTTGAAATACAGATCACCCATTGTATCACCTAGATTAAGTGATAAATCAGATTGCATACCGTATGGATTCTGAAATTCTTCAGGTCGATATATACGAGCTTTCAAAAGACCTGGTACATGTTTTACGTTATGTGTATAATGTACATTGTTGTTGTTGTTGTTGTTGTTGTTGTTGTTGTTGTTGTTGTTGTTGTCGTCCAAGTTTGCTAAATCATCGTTGATTGGTGGTGGTTTGTTGACAGTGGCTTTGATCAACTTTTCATTATCTTCGCGTTTAAATATTCCACCATTACTAGCAATATGATATGCTTTATGCGGATGGCCAGGAGAATGAATAGTGGACTGATAGACAATTTCAAGAGGTATTCTACCAGTAGTTGTTAAGGGTAAAGTTTTACATATAAGGGCCATTGAGTCACCAAGATTACAATTTATCACCACACCATCATACAAGATAACAATAACCAATGTTGAACCTTGATCAGATGGCATAGGATCCTTACAACCATTACTTAACCATTCTGAAAACTTTTTTTTCTGAGAACTCAAATATTCATTATCGAGTCTTTTGTACATTTCCTTCACCTTTTCTCTAAACAGTTGTTGGTGCTAGTTGTAATGGCTTGAGTTTTGGATCGTTGTGAGCATGAATCCGGTGAAGTTGTCTTCTTCTTCTTCTTTTGAATAGAATAAAAAATATTATTGATAATAATATGAGTAATGCGAGTACACTTAAGAATCCTAATAATATTGTACGAAGACTATAAGATTCACTAGATGGTGCATCAGTTGTAATAGGAGGATCTCGCTTTGATAAATGACTATAATTATTATTGGATATTAGTAACATTTTTTTGAATTTTTGAATTTCGTCAATTGAAGAACTAGAAAAAAAAATTTTTTTTTTAAAATTGGGAGAGAAATAGTCCTTTTATTTATATATATTTATTAATATAATATATTTATTCATATATCAGTTTAAACCATTCTAATTAATGACAATTATTTATTAAAAGGTAAAGTGTAATAATAGTAACCCAAGGTACCACCGACTTTGAAGAAATGAGAGGTGGTTAGAATAAAAAAGGATAAAGAATCAGCATAATTGGTTAATTGATGGTGAAATATTAAGAGTATACGATTAATTATTGAACTTTAACACTAAAAAAAATAAACCCTTTATTTTTAAAAACCTTGACTACTTTTGCTTGATTTTGTTGAACAATATAAATAAACAAAAACTCCTATAAAGACAATACAAGAAAAAATATTTTTTAAAAAATCCGTCGATCGACAACGTAACACTGCTCGCCCTTTATGGTTACTTTCCGGATCAATACCTATATATAATGCAGTCAAGATTTGATAATTAGAAATTTATATTGCGAATCTTTTTCATATAGTGGCATAAGAAGGATTTTTAAAATATTTCATTTGCTAAATTTATTTAAAAAAAATAATAATCACATTAACCACGGCATCCCACATTCGGATAATTTGATGATAAAGCAATCAACCTTTTGTTTTGTTTTCTTTATAAGTGGCATCTATAATAACAAAAAGTAGTAGAATAGTAACTAAAAAATTTCTTTATTTGACGTTATGCGTGCGTGGTCTTGTTCATCATATTGCTTAGTTTCCAGATGTTATCAATAAAATTGTAAAGTTTGGTTTTTTAAATTTAAAAAGTCGCTGTGATGGAAAACTGGAGCAATTGATGAATTTGTTGAAAAATTTTTATGATGACGATCTTGTTAAAATATCAATCTTCGTGCTACCCATAATTTCCATTTTCATGTTTTATATTTTTGAAATAAAATTCATTCGTCAACATCATAAACTTCATCAATAATGAAATATTACTTTTCGAGGAATTCATCTCAATTGTTATTACTCGTAATATCAATAATAGTAGTAACTCAATTCTCAAAGATTTCGCTATCAATTGAATTTAAAACAGAATGTCTAGATCAATTAGATCCGTTAGATCCAAAAAATAAAGTCATAACCCCTTGTCCAATGATTTCTTCAAATGATAATAAAGGATCCCTGCTTCTTCAACAATATGAAAGAATGAAAATTATAAAAAACATGAAGGTGGGAGTGACGAAAATGGTGCAGATAACTTTCAATTGTAAAGTTGATGATTTAAAATTGTGTAGCAAAGTTGAAAAGACTTTCGATAAAGCTGTTAACATTATATCATCTAGTATAAAATTTATTAATCCAATCACAGTTAACGCCACGTTCATGGATTTTTGTGCTCAATTAAATCAATGTGGATCTGATGCTTTAGGTTTGTTCGTAAATATATATGCGTATATATGCTTGTATTACCGTTAACGTATCATATATTAATTGATAGGTGGTGCTGTATCACTTAGGAATATGATTATTAAGGATTATGATGACGATATCTCGAGAATTTATCCACAAGCACTTGTTAAACAATTAAATAGTCAAGATCATCCAGAGTTTCTAGGCTATGACATATTGGCATTATTTAATAGTGAAGCAAATTATTGGTTCGAAGAAGATGAAGGCGGTAAGATAGGAGAAGATCAATTAGATTTTTTGTTTGTCGTGGTACATGAATTGATTCATGGATTAGGTTTTACATCAGGATGGAATGATTATATTAATAATCAAGGAGATAAAACAACACCAGAAATTTTGACGCCACAAATATCAGCAAAATTTAATCCAACAACCGGTGAAGTGATATTTGAAGGTTTCATAGAGAGTATTTTTGATAAATATCTTGTTATCTTTACCTCCTCCTCTTCAACGGGAGACTACAAGTGCAAAAGACTTTCAGATATAACAAAAGAATTAAACAAATTTGCCGGTGGAATTGGCGCAATTTTTAAATCGAGAAATGATTTTTTTTCTGCTTTTAAAGCTTCTCCACAATACCAATTAGCTTTGAAATTAATGAGATATGCTACTATTCCCAAATCTATTGGATTTTTACTTAAAGATAACAGTAATACAAATTGCAATAAAGATAAAAATGATGTTGTCATACTTGAAACTAGTATTAGTCCTTATGTAACAGGGTCAAGTATTTGCCATTTGGATTATAATACTTATTCGATAAATGGTGATTTCCTAATGAGATTTATACAAGATCGTGGCATTACTTTAAATGAGGAAATTCAATTGGGTGGTAATTATAAAGGCGGATCAATCGGCCCGAAATTACGATTAATTCTAGAATCATTAGGGTAAATAAATATTTATTATTTATTATTTTATCTTTTAATCTTTAATTTTTAATTTAATTTTTATTTTTATTTTTATTATACAGATATATTACACAAAAATGATATTCTAATAAGAAGCATTTAGCCAAACCATATGATCCAAAATAATTTTCATTGTATATATATAATTAATTATATTTGTTTATTTAAATATTTATTGTTTTATTATAGAATGTGGTAGCGAAATTCTATTAGAAGTTTTCTTTACATATCATGTACTTAAGAAAGTTCTATGAAATTGATACCACGGTAAGATCAAGTTTATTTTGTTATACAAAAATATAAATTTGATAATTTGAAATTTTACATTAATTCATTGTGACACGAAAATTTTTAATCATGACCAAAATTTTGTGTAACGCAATATCTCGTGATCTATGTGATGTGATTGATATATGCGCCACTCTGAACTTTGTTAAGAGACTTTTAATGGTTAGTAAGGCTGTTATTTTTAAGACTTCTCCAACTAAAAACAGCAATTACAATAATTACAAGTAAATTTTCCTTGAGTAAAGGTCATTAATTAATTCCTCCATTCTCCATTAAAAGTATTTCAAACAATGTGTTTTTTAGAGAAGAACTAGGCGTTTACGTTTTTATCGTCAATATTAATAGACAAATTTAATTTTATTGAACTTATATTACTTGGTATATATATGACTTTATTAATAACTAGGTAAAATTTGATATAAGCGTAATTGATGGAATAAATTCATTACATGGTTTTTCGTTGTTCCGAATGGAATTTCGATATTAATATCATTTCTCATTTTTGGTAGAGTTTCGATTTTCTTTTTTCGGAGCGTTATTCAAATTACTTAAACCCTCTATATACATTCCTATAAACACAAGGCGAGTTTCATGAAAGTCAATATACAAAAATTAATTGGGAAAATGAGATTAAATACAAAAAAAATTGACGCATTAGTTGTACATTGGCTTTTATTGGTTATTAATTGCGATTGTAAAACTTCTCTAAGCTCACAGCTCTCCGAATGGTGCTATCATTTCATAAATAGTTAGATCAATTACTCTCTAAAGGATGGTCATCATTGCATCTCTTCTGGACCAAAGACGTTGACTAAATAACAGCATAATTTCTGAAATTCACATAGTAAAATTAACATACTGTTTTCTCCTTCTCCATTTTCAAAGATATAGACACCACATTTATCGAAAAGATAGTGGATGGTGTGTATTTTATATCTGTAAAGAGTTTTATAAAAATCGGTTCAAAATGTATATGCCAAAGAACAAAAAACTCTTCATAGCTCTAAACCGCACACTATTTTATTGTCTTTTCGCGTAAATTTGGTGATTGAAAGTGCAGATCATCTATAATCAATTAATTGCTTATAATAACAAATTGGTCAGCTTCAAAATACTAAAACAAAAAAATTTCTATATCATTTTAAAAAAGTCAACCGATAAGTTTTATTGTTCATGACTCAAGCTTCAAAACTTATCGGCTAGTTTTTCTTAAACTAAAAATTGGCAAAGCCTTGGCATTTTGAAAATTCCAAATTTTGTTATACGTTTTAAGAAATTGGGACTAAGTAATAATAATAAAAGTTCTTTACAATAAAAGAGTTCAACGAACATATTACATCAAAAGAAAATCATTCCCAAATTTGGTCATATAATTCAAAAATGTTGTAACAAGAAAAATTATTATTGCAGTTCTGAGCATAACTCAAATTTAAAAAAAAATTTTTTACATGAATTGACTCTTTTTTTAAAGCCGAATTTAATGGTGGTGGGTGGTTTTTTTAAAATCCAACATGTATATCGCATGATTAGAGGTCGGAATCGTCCAAAAAATCCTTAGTCGACTAAAATTTTTTTTTATAATAATAATATTCGTTTTTTTTTTTTTTTTTTTTTTTTTTTTTAATTTGCAAATTACGAATTCATTTACATTTGAATCTTTCACTTTTTCAAAATACTTTCACACAAAACCATGTGTTACGATTCGTTTTTTAAAAGGTCATCTGGAACTATCGCTTAAATCATTGGACCTTGTATTGGAAATGTTTATTCATTCACATGTAAAATTATCATCAACAACACACTACTATTGTCATCATCATCATATCGATGGTATTGATACTCTTCCACATAGAAATTTTCCATTTTGAATGATAAAACACAAAAATCGTAATTCCTAGTAATATTAGTAGTCGACTAATTAGTCGATTAAAATAGTTGACTATTTAGTCGACTAAGATAGTTGGCTATTAGTTGTTCAAAAAAAGTTTAGTTGACTAAAATAGTCGACTAATTAGCCGATTAAATTAGTCGACTATTTTAGTCGATTCCAACCTCTAGTTTTATGATAAATAAAACGGATTTATCAAAGTGCCGTCCAATCATATGCCGGACATCTGATCTATATGTGTCTTCGTTTTATATTTTTTATTAATATTTTATATTTGCATTTTTATTATTTATTAAAAAAGACTATTATCATAATAATAATGTCATTTTTTGATCTAACCCGTTTTGTAATAATAAAACAAATCAATTTTTCAATAAAAGACTTTTGTGGCCGGTAGAGTTTAATTGACTGCTTGGGTTTTCACCC